AATGTTTTGATAACTAAAACCCCTTAAACACTCAAAACTAAATCGTAATAGAACATAATTAACCCAAACATAAATAATATAAATAAAAAATAATTATGAAAAAATGGTATTTTTGTAAAGATTTTAAAAATGTAATATTTTTATAAAGTGGCATTGTTTTTAATTTCTCTAATGTTTTTAAACCTGCACATGATCTTACAAAATCTTAAGTCCTTATTGTCATCAATCAAACAGTCTGATCGATCTCCTCCACACAGAAATTTTCACCAACCATATAAGACCGGAAATACTCAAACCGGATTGAGAAAAACCGGATCTACGGTTATTGAAAAGCCACCGGCAAAATTAAACTCAAAAATCGTCGCCTTTCGTATTCAAATATCTCGTCGGCGACTCGTCGCTCCACAAAAACGGCAACGATGTTCCGCCGCCGCGTAAACGCCACGCGCTTCCAGACACTCCTTGTTTCTCGCCGTATCTCCGCCGCTGCCACCGTGTTCGATGACCCCGCCGGTTCCCTCTCGAAATACTGCACGGAGAAGCCGCCGATCAAACCGTGGCCGCAGAGGCTATTCCCGAAACGTTTGGTCTCCATGATCACTCAACAGCAGAACATCGATCTCGCTCTCCAGATATTCCTCTACGCCGGTAAATCGCATCCTGGGTTCACTCATAATTACGATACTTACCACTCCATTCTCTATAAACTATCCCGTGCTCGTGCTTTCGATCCCGTGGAGCCTCTCATAGCAGATCTTCGGAACTCTTACCCGCCGATTAAATGCGGAGAGAATCTTTTCATCGACTTGCTACGAAACTATGGTCTCGCGGGTCGATTCGAATCATCCGTGAGGATCTTCCTTAGAATCCCTGATTTCGGTGTGAAACGCTCTGTTCGATCGTTAAACACGCTCTTAAACGTTCTAATTCAGAACCAAAGATTCGATTTAGTTCATGCTATGTTTAAGAACAGCAAAAAGTCTTTCGGAATCACTCCGAACATCTTCACTTGTAATCTTCTCGTCAAAGCTCTCTGCAAGAAGAATGATATAGAAAGTGCATATAAAGTGCTCGACGAAATTCCCGAGATGGGTTTGGTGCCAAATTTGGTGACTTACACAACTATTTTAGGTGGGTATGTTGCAAGAGGTGATATGGAAGCGGCTAGGAGGGTTTTGGGAGAGATGTTGGATCGTGGCTGGTATCCGGATGCGACTACTTACACGATTCTCATGGATGGTTACTGTAAGTTAGGGAGATTCTCTGATGCGGCTATGGTGATGGATGAGATGGAAAGGAACGAGATTGAGCCAAATGAAGTAACGTATGGGGTTATGATCGGAGCTTTATGCAAGGAGAAGAAATCTGGGGAAGCTCGTAACATGTTTGATGAAATGCTTGACAGAAGTTTCATGCCAAGTTCTTCCCTTTGTTGTAAAGTTATTGACGCGCTGTGTGAAGACCACAAGCTGGATGAAGCCTGTGTCCTGTGGAGAAAAATGTTGAGGAACAACTGTATGCCTGATAATGCTCTGCTGAGCACTCTCATCCATTGGCTTTGCAAAGAAGGGAGAGTTTCAGAAGCGAGGAAATTGTTCGACGAGTTTGACAAAGGCTCGATCCCTAGTCTCTTGACGTACAACACTTTGATTGCTGGAATGTGCGAGAAGGGTGAGTTGACTGAGGCGGGTCGATTATGGGACGACATGGTTGAGAGGAAGTGCAAACCGAATGCTTTTACATATAACGTTTTGATCGAAGGCTTGTCCAAGAACGGAAATGTTAAAGAAGGAGTTAGAGTTCTTGAAGAGATGTTGGAGAATGGTTGCTTTCCTAACAAAACAACGTTTTTGATACTGTTTGATGGGTTGCAAGAGTTAGGGAAAGAAGAGGATGCGATTAAGATCGTTTCAATGGCTGTTATGAGCAGGAAAGTCGATAAAGAATCTTGGGAACTCTTCGTGAAGAAATTTGCAAGTGAACTAGATAAAGGGGTTCTGGTTCTTAAAGAGTTATTGCATGAAAGTTCCATCTCTTGAAGAACCAAGACTGTGGTCAATACTCAAAGCTCAAAAGGCTATCGATCTGCTGGAGGTATCTATACTACTCTTGACTTTGGTTTTATTATGATACATATTGGATGAATTGCTTTACATATTAAAATACCATAACGAATAGTATAAATAGGGACAAAGGCTCTTGTGGCAGCTGAAGTTTAAAGGGACTAAACGCAGCGACTTAGGCTGCTTATGGTTCTGGTTCAAGCAGCTATTGTGCAACCGCTCTGTTGAAAATCAACTCAGATAAGTTACCCAAATGCAAGAAGCACACATTGATGGAGGCTTGCAAAGAAGAAGAGATCTCCAAAATCTGCACAGGTCTTTAGGATTTGGTACTGCTTTTTTACCTCTTTCTAAAGCAAGAATAACTTATCCAATGTATGTTGGCCCATGAATCTGTGTTGTTTTTCTCATAATCAAAATGTATTTACTGATAATTATGATATGAATTCGATTGTTAAATAAGATGCTACTTTACTACGTAGGCTAAAAGTGGAAATTAGTGTAAGCTTGAAAATAAGATTCAAAAACCTTCTCTTTCTCCTTGTCCCGATGATCTCATTAGTGTAGCTATATTAGTCTTTTGCCATAGCAGAGGATCATTCAAAATTTGGACTAAAATTTGTGAAGTCATTTTCAAAAATCACTTCTTCCATTCCAAACTTGTCCAAGCAAAACATCCGCCTAAGTAACTCTACATCATGATTAAAACCTCGGGTAAATCTTTGCACTATACCATCCAACCATTCATTTTTTCAGATCTAAAATTGTCTAACCAAGGAAATTGAACCGGATGAACAATCTTTATCCTTTTTTTTGTTATTTAAAATTGGTTTTAAGGCAATAAAGGAAATGAACAAAAAAGAACTAAAAAGGCTACTCCTGTATAATATGAAATGATTTTTGGGATTCTCCAATCCAAATTCAGTAAAAGGAAGAACAGCTAAACTTCAGAATTTTGAAGG